TATTATATTGTTATTATTATCATTACTATCTTACTTTATTTCAATTCTTAAACTGTTCTTATCTCAACCCAGGAGTGTTTCTCATTCTCCCTCCTCCGATTCTCTCCCCCATCCCTTCGGGGTAGGGGGAGTGAGCGAGCGGCTGCGTGGTGCTTAGTTGCTGGCTGGGGCTAAACCACAACACCCAGCATGTGTGGAAAGTACTCTCTGTATCCCCAGGACCATGACAGATGTGAAATTAAGTTATCCCACTGCTATTTTTAAGCTCAAATGAAATCCAGGGTGCTCTTCAAACCCAAGAGCCCAATTGCTTCGGGGCAGACCCCATGTCATCCTGCCACCCCATGCAGATTGCATCACCAGCCCCTTGTGCAGTCAGACCTTACACAAAACTAAACACTAAACCTGCTGCTCCTGCCAAAACAAAACCTTGCCTCCTTATTTTTAGTATAACAAGTGTAGCAACAAACCAAGCCAAAAGAAGAAAGAAATCCCTTGCAAATGCACCTGATCAAAAGTAAATAAAACACATATTCCTGGCACCAGGTCTTGAAGGCCCAGCGGTGCTCAGACTGACAAATCATGCCAACCAAGAAGTTCTGAGCTTCCACCCAAAAAACTTCATCCCCCTGTCAGGAAAACAAAGAACATCTGAAGCCAAGCAGCACCATTTTAATTGGTTGAATATTTAAAAAAAAAAAGAGTGGAATTGCAGTGAGGCCAACATAAGTAAGGACAGGAATGAACTGACCTTGACATATGCTAGGTAATGCTCGCACTTTTCCTGCATGTATGACAGTTGTAACTTCTCTGTGATCTGCCCCACTGTCTCTCCAGAAGTCACAAAGTAAACTCTGGGTTGCTGGCTCTTTTCCTTCTTTGCCACATCAGCAGTCAAGTTATAATTCAAACCTGTTTTAAAAAGGAAGAAGAAGGAAACAAAGGATGTCAGTGAACAATAGTTATTTTCTAGCCACCTATCAATGGATCCTGTTGCCCCCAGGGCATGTGTGCTTGAAGAAAGGTCAACCCTTGCTGGCCCTCAATCAATCCCTTAAGTTTCCTGTGGCTGCACAAAACCAAATCCAATTACTAATGTACTCCCAGGTTTTGTGTCGCTACATTCCCAAGCCCATCCTTCCCCGTAGGAAATGATGTGTAAAAATACATCTAGACACGCACGCTTAATAAAAAAAAGAAACAAAAGATGCTTAAACTGTGCTGCTAACAGAAAAAGCAAAAACACAACACAAACAACAACAGCAGCAGTCTCAAGCTTTTTCTTCTTGAACAGCACAAACCATGTCAATGTCAACCAGGATGTGGCACTTCCTAACCATTACTTTTGTTGATTTGCAGTCATCTTAGCATTTAGTCCTTAACTAGAGGTTACTGCCTTGCTCTCAGTATCCCCCTCATATATGCTTCACATCCCTAGCAGTTTATAGAAGACGTACCCAGAGACTAATGAGCTGTATCTCTGTAAATCCTGTTTCCTGCTGTTCTACAGGATAGGTAGCTTAACACAATTGATTGGTTTGTGACTGGATGTATCTGTGTCCAAAAGCAAACTTATTTCTTACCTGACTTAGCTGTACAGTGATTGAATAATTCAAGCTGACTATACCTGTCCTTTTGGTACACGCAACAACAACAGGAGCCACAAAACTGCAACAGAAGCATGAACGCTTGTTCTGCTGCTTTCTACAGGCAAGGGCAACACCGGCTGTGAGGTCTTTCACTCATCACAGACCATGGCCTGTATTGATTTCAGCCGTTATCAAGGCAATAATGGGAATACCATGAGATTGGCTCACTATAAATGGCTTAATTAGTTGATAATCTTCATAAACGATAGCCAGCACCAGCGCTGATTTGTTACATAGGTAGGATGCTTGCCAAATTATTGCTTTGGCTTTTATTTATGTTTTAAGTCGTAAATGATTGATGCCAGATAATATGCTCCCCATAAATGTAAACTTTTTAAGCCAGAATTTTATAACAATCAATGTAACTGTAACACATTCCTGGACTGAGGTCTTCTATACCAAATTTCAGCAAGGGGTCTTTGCTGTGTTTTGTTGTGTTTTTATTTGGTTTTGTGCTCGTGGGTTTTTTTTAATTCAGTAAAAATCCTAATCTCTCTAAATTAACACTGCTGCCAATGGTATCACATCCAATCATTTCTCCACCAAAATTTCACTACTTTGAAGAATTTATTTAATGATATTGTAAAACTTGGTGCAAAAGTCTCTGTGAACTCTGTTCATAATTTACATAATTCAAACCAACCTCACTTCCACCTGCAGTGTGTTGCATTCTGATGAAAACCTCACTCACAAGTTCATGCAAAGCAGCCAGAGACATACCCTAGCTAGTAAGAAAAGCCAGAGCTGAGGAATCAGCCTAACTACCATCACAGGGCTCCACCTGAACTTTTTTGCTTGCTTTTGGCAGAATAACTTGCTTAGAAGGATAATGCCTTGAAAGTGTTTCAAACTCTGACAAGCTCAGCACCAAAAACTCTCACCGAAGTGGTGTTCGCTCAGTCCCACTAAAGAGCACCACCTAAACAGAAACACAGGGTTTAGCCTGTTTAAAATCCCAGCAGTCTCATTCTTAACTTTTTTTTTCCGTTTCTAAAGTGTGCACATCCCACACCCATCCCCAATCATCTCCCTTCTGCTTTCAAGACCTCACATGCACGCACGCATGCTGAGATCTGCATCGGCGCCCCAAGAATAAAGACAAGAAAACCCGCTAGCAAACCCAGGCCCTGCGTAGGCAGGGGCAAAAAGCCCCACAGCGAGATGCAGCCCTCTTCAAAGGAGGAGCACCAAAGGAAGGCAGGGCTGCAGAACTTGCAGGGGCGCCTGGGGAGGCTCAGAGACTCTCCAAAGGAAGTGCGACGTATTACTGACACTGAACAATTCCTCGCTGCAGGCGCAGAGACGCATCCCAACACGAGCCCCATACCAGGCCTCCGAGCAAAGCAATCCCAGCTACTGTCTCTCCGAAACGGCAGTGGATGTTTTCAATCAAGCAGCACAGTTCCCATCTCTCCCCCGCCGTCTCCCCTTTATTTTGACAACTTGTTTCTATGTTATATTCAATGATGTCACATCAGTGGAAAAACTGAAATATCATGAGTAAGGTTGTTTGTTTTTTTTTTTTTTTTCCCCTCCCCAGCTTCATTGCTTCCAAAAAGCAACCAGGATGGGGAGATAACAGGCCAAACTTAGCACTGCTAGTGGTGTAAGTTCCTCCTGCTCAGTCCAGTAGGAGATCGGGACGTAAGTTTTCGCTAGCAAATTAACTCTTGCAGGAAACGCCTTCAAATATTTGTCCAGCAGCTTTAAGCAGGTCTGGTTAGAAATGTTTCTGGGGATCTGCCCACTCAACTTCACATGATCAAAATAAAACTCTGGCATGGATTTGATGAGCTCAGATGAAGGGCTTGATTTTTCTAATGACTATTCCTTTCCTATAACTAAAGTTAAATGCCTAAAAGCTTTGATAACAGCTCCCTCTGAGAAATCTTTGGTCGTACCTGCAAGAGGACTGCCAGCCAACCCACCAGGCGAGTTACTCCAGGCAGTAACAGATAAACCAAGTAAATGGCAGAAGGCATTTTATAATAGATTTTCATCCTAAGTGGCACATACATACTCATAATGCAAGAGTTGTCCCCTCACATGGCTGAAGGCAGCCCTGAAGCAGAGAGGAGTGAGGAGGGATTGAAACTGGGCAGCCGTACATATCCTGTGAGCTAAAACGGGAATAGCAGCTGTCTGTGCTAATGGAGGGGTTACACACCCCGAGCCTCCTGGCACATCCCTTTGTAGCCCACTCAGTTGATGCTACAGCACACAAAAAGCAGGCGGCAAAATGCTCAGCAGGA